CATCACACAGGTGATAAGGTCATTTCTTCTTGTTTTTTCTTTCTTCTCTATCTAGGCTTATAATGCCTTCATATTTCTGGTTATGATCATTTGAGTCTTTTTTCTCGATCACAACTATCAGAGATCTATGAATTGTTTAGATCACTCTTTACTCCCTTGCCCTGCCAAGAAACCAGCTATTCAATTTATTGATTTCCTCCCTTCTAACTCATTTGCTTCTGCTTTTATCTTTATAAAAGTTTTCTTGATTTCTGTATGACTTTTTAGTTCTTTTTTTCTAAATGCTCAAGTTGACTGTTTTTTTCATTTATTTAGTTTCCTATCCAAAAAACTGTTGGGGCTAGTATTTATCTCTGAGAATAGTTTTGGCTGCATCCTATGAGTTTCTTTTTTAAACAATCAATCTAAAAAGTTCTTGTCATTCTTGATTATATCCCATGCATTTTGTTTTGTAGTTCTGACTTGACTTAATTTTATTTATTTATTTTATATTTATATATATATATATATATATATATATATATATATACATTTTTCATTTTTATTGAAGTATAGTCAGTTACAATGTGTCCATTTCTGGTGTACAGCACAGTGTCCCCGTCATGCATTTATATACATATATTTTGTTCTCGTATTCTTTTTTACTAAAGGTTATTACAAGATATTGAGTATAGATCCCTGTGCTATACAGAAAAAATTTGTTTTTTGTTTGTTTGGTTTTTTTTTTTTACTTAATTTTAAATAGCCAATTTTATTTCCTAGGTTTCTGTGTATTGTGGTTAGAGCATACAGCCTACATAATTTCTGCTTTAAAAAAAAAATGAAAGGTTTTGTTCTTGCTAGGCAGAGAATTCATCTTGGCAACTGTTTGTTGGATACCTAAGAAAAAAATAGATTGCTTATTTATTGAAAACCAAATCTAACAGCTAGTAATTAAATTGTATTCATTGTATTATTTATATAATTCTATACTCAATTAATATTTTGGCAACTTGATCTGTTAGAATCTATAATGCATTAAAATCTGACATCAAAATATCTTTGTCGATAGCTCAAATTCTAACAACCTTACTTTATGTACTTTTATACAACATCATTTGGTGTATAAGATTAGTATATTTGCCTTCACAATTTTTCTTTTATTAATATAAAATAAACTTCTTAATCTTGATATGTGGCTTTAAGCTTAACTCTACAGTGCTAGGTATGAATATTGTCACTCTGACTTTCTTTTTGTTTATATTTGCTATATCATCATGGGACTTCAACCATTTCTCTGTCTTTAAGAAAGTGTGTCCTTTATAAGCAACAAAAAGTTGAATTTTATTTTGTAATTGAACTGAAAACATGGTTAATTTTTGTAAATTTAAAATTTTTATATTTATTGTTGTCATTTCTATACCTAGTTTCTTTTTCCCATTCTATTTACTCCTTTGCTATTTTGTCTGATTTGTTTGTTTCTTTTTATCTTCTTCAGTAATTTTGAAGATGGGCATCCTGTTTTTAATAGTCAGTGGTTACTTCAAGGTTTTAAAAAAATCTTACACTTTCTGAGCTATCAAATTAAAAAAAAAACAACAATTACTTTTAATTTCCTTTTATGGAATATTTGCTTCATCCTTTCCACTACCCCTGCCCTCTACAACCCGAGAACATTCTTCCTTCTTTGTTAATTTATCTAATCCATCTTGTCCTTTTTTTTTAAGGACATGAATGATCTCTTTTACTGGTTTTTTAAAAATTTTAAATCTGTAACTATATTCATCATAGCTTTAGTCTCTTTCCAGTTTTCTGTTTTAAATGCTCAGCTCCGAACTTCCCCACCTTGATGTCTGCATCCTGTATTGTTAGTATCTCTTAGAGGTCTAGATTTTCGGCTCTTGGAGGCAGTTTTTGCCTACAAGCCACATGTACCTGAGGGTGGCTTTCTATGATCTTTACACTTGAAAGCAACTTAATTGGGTGTGAAATTCTTGCATTCAAAGATTCTCCCTCAAAACTCTCTGGTGTAATTTTTTCAGGGAACATGGTTTGTTTATTCACGGAAGTTTGTAAGGTTTTATATTAATGACATTTAAAGATGTAAGTGGTACATCTGGGAGTGGCTCTCTTTCCAAAAATTTTGCAGAAACGTTGCTCCTCTAATGCAAGTTCTCATCTCTCTGTTTAATTCAGCTGTACCTCTCAGGCACCAGCTGGTGGTGATTAACAAAGGTCCTCTCGGGCCCTTCAGAGCTATTCACAGACCCCATTTGCTTGACCCATGACATTGCTCATTCATTCTAATTCCTTCCTGGTATGAGGTTGGGACCAGAGCCCTGGTGACTGACAGCCCAGTTGGGGCCATGCTCATCTTGGGCTGCTTCTAGACAATGACTGGGCTCCGTGGAGGTACTAGTCCTGGGAGATTCCTGCCAGACGTGGAACTTCTCCAACGGGCAGTTTGTGCTTAGGGACTCTCCCTTGGCCTGACTAAGACATTCTCAGAGCCTCACTGTGGTCTGAAGCTCTTCCTACCCCTTCATTCCTTCTTCCTCTCTCTCCACAGGTATCAGACTGCTTTGTAGTCTGAAGGCCCTCCCTGTCCACACCTACTCCATCTTCCTTTTATCCTTCACTGGGCTTTCTCCTAATAAATCTATCAAATGTCTAATACTGTCCGAGCATCTGCTTCCCAGCCTCCTAGCCACCCACCTTACCATTGATTGCAGTGGATCCCTGAGTTGGCTGGAACAGAAGCTATCAGTGGCCCCAGGCAACAGGTCGCGAGTAGGGAGGTTGCTGGCCTCACTGCAAGTGGACTGGATTTTATTGGCGGCCAGTCTTTGAGGAAAACAACTGCTTTATCTCTTGCTGCAGCCTGGAGACTTTTTATCGTATTCCACTGAAGTTCCCGATTTTTTTATAAAAAAAAAAATTTTTTTTTTAAGATAGTTTCCTTGAACCTTCAGAGGGAATTCAGGGCATTAATTTTTCAGATTCTCTGCTCACTCTACCATTAACTGGAAGAAGTTTTTTCAACCCAATTTCTTTTTGCCAGTCCATAGCGTGCTTTCTCTAACTTCAAGGATTACCATTTGAAAAGTTTCCATTTGAAGTCATTCAGTAATTCAAATGTGACCTTTAGGAGTGTCCTGCCAGAGAACACTGATAGCTGAGTCGTGTCTGTGTTACGCACATTCGCCTGGTGCAGTCAGTTCAGACAAGCTCCAGCATCTTAGAATGCATGCATTCCATCAGGCCATTCTTCTCTGTTTTTCCTCGGTTTGTTCAATTCAGTCATGTTCTGGGCTTGAGTTTGGGTTTATCTTTGAGCATCACTGTTTTTTTTTCTCGGCCACTCTTGTTCTAATGTTTGAGTTCACCAGCAGTGCTCTGTGTTTATCCACGGATTCTGCCTGAGCATGACCCAGACAGAAACGGATGCCCCAAGTTCTTTTTTTTTTTTTTGCAGTCTTGTCAGATCTCTTTAAGCACAAGCTTGTCTTTATGCTTATCTTTGTGGTTCTTGGTTTTCTGCAGTTTCTTATGTTGAAGTCTTCCTCTTGGGTGTTGCAGCACCTTTCAGTTAAATCTGAATTGAGTTCTTGCCCACTCTCTTCACCATTTTTGAAATTTATCTTGCTGGTGCCAAGCTATTCTAGCTATCTTTTGAGATGAGCCTGGGGCTATTTTGGCATATTTAGTCAGGAGGAGACACCCTGCCAGCTCGCCTTTATTCCGGGCACCGTGGGATTGGAGCAGTTACACCTGGGGCTCTACACTGCACAACTCCAGGAGGCGCCATTCACACAGACCGCAGGAGTCTGAAGCTTTAAATATGTGGAAATGCATTGTCCTAGATCTCATGTGACATAAACCTATAAGAAAAGTTAGCACATAGGAGAATATAGAATTTTTGGAAAGTCACCAGATCAGGTGGTATACATTAAATGTTTACTATATAGTGCTCAATGAATAATGTGTGTGTGTGTGTGTTTCTCTAGTAGTTAGAGAGGGTTTGGGAATGGCATTCTATATAGGGTCTTAAAAATACCCAACTCCTTCATTCCTGAAGGCTTGTGATCCCCTTGACTGCCGGCATCCAACATCCCAATGTAACCACACCAGGAGCCTTGGTCCTCTTGTCCCTGAGGCCAGCTCTAATTTTCTACTTGTCTAAAGTCCTTTCTTTGCCCTGTAGAGACCTCAAGCCCTCACTTTGGTCCCTCTGGGAATGTCCCTTCTTCTATGTTTCTCCAACTTCTGTCTGGATTTTCTCCACAGAGAGCAGGAGGCTACGGCAGCTCCGGACTTTACCCTCCCAACTTCAAATCCAACAGAAGGAGCACCAGCCCCCTTCCCAGAAACCCAAGCAAGAATTTCATTGCTTCCTATTGCCTCTGCAGGGAGGGAATCATCTGTCCATCCATGAACCTATAAATGAACCAATGATGATGTGTGGGGGAAAGTGATACATTGATTGCAGCCAGCCCCACAGGGTGGAGTCAGCTTTGTCTGACCTTTGGGGTGTGAGTGGGGCAGAGCAGAAGGACTACATAGAAAGGAGCTGGGTCCTAAAAAGAGCATTTGAAGCTGTTGGAGCTACAGCTCAAGTCAGCCCTGCCCTAGTTTTCATGTTTTCAGTTTTGTGAAATCCTCTCTTCGATTAAACCAGCTTGGGTCAGGGCTTATGCCATTGTTACTACTTTCAACAGAGGGAGTTCTGTTTGGAAAAGTGGGACAGATATTCATGTGCAGTTCTATTTTTGTAAAAGATAAAGGAGCATGCACACACACACACATGTGTATGTGTGTGGACAGAAAGAGTCTGGAATGATATACATTAAAAAGTAACAAGATTAGGGCTAATTATTCTTCCTGTGTTTGCTAATTGTGATCCCAAGAGCATGGATTGCTATGTGATAAAGGGGAGGTGTTTATGATTCTCAGCAAAGTTGAGAATCCATCAGTTCTGGAAAGTAAGAGGAACTTCACCTCATCTATTGTTGACATTGTAGGAAAGAACATGAGCCAGCTAAACAAGAACCAGAACTGCTCCTTTAGTGATGTGGATGACCTGATGAAAATTGTGCAGCTGGCAATCCACATCCCAACCTTCCTCCTGGGTCTGCTCCTCAATCTGCTCGCCATCCGAGGCTTCAGCTTCTTCCTCAAGAAGAGGTGGCCGCACCGTGCTGCCACCTCCATCTACATGATCAACCTGGCAGTCTTCGACCTGCTGCTGGTGCTCTCTCTTCCGTTCAAGATGGCCCTGTCCCATGTGAAGGCTCCCTCCCCCGCCTTCTGTACCTTGGTGGAGTGCCTCTACTTCATCAGCATGTACGGGAGCATCTTCACTATCTGCTTTATCAGCCTGGACAGATTCTTGGCCATCCAGTACCCGATCCTGGTCAACCACTGCCGGTCCCCCAGGAAGATCTTTGGGATCTGCTGCACCATCTGGGTCCTGGTGTGGGTTGGGAGTACCCCTATCTATAGCTTCCATGGGAAAGTGGAAGATTACATGTGCTTCCACAACATGTCAGACAACACCTGGAGTGCCAAGGTGTTCTTCCCCCTTGAGGTGTTCGGGTTCCTTCTCCCCATGAGCATCATGGGTTTCTGCTCCTCCAGGAGCATTCATATTCTGGTCAGCCGTCGCAACCACACCCAGGACTGGGTCAAGCAGAAGGCCTGCATCTGGACTATCGCGGCCAGTCTGGCTGTCTTTGTGGTCTCCTTTTTCCCTGTCCACCTGAGTTTCTTCTTGCAGTTCCTGGTGAGGAATGACTTTATTGTGGAGTGCAGAGCTAAGCGGAACATCAGCTTGTTCCTGCAATTATCCATGTGTTTCTCCAACATCAACTGCTGCCTGGATGTTTTCTGCTATTACTTTGTCATGAAAGAATTCCGCACGGACATCACGGCCCACCGGCCTTCCAGGGTCCAGCTGGTCCTCCAGGATACTGTGACCACCAGGGGCTAAGGGAAGAAATCTGTGCTCGGAGGAAGGAAAGCCCAGCCAAAATTCCCAAATTCTAGTAGCAGATACCCTTTTCCCAGGGCTGTGATGTGATGGATGATATGCAGGGCATTTACTGGTGTGCCCGCCCTTTGATGCTCACCTGAATGCCGTCTTTGCTTCTTGTGCCCCAAAGACCTTTCCCCAGCATCCAAACAACTTGACATATATCACTCAGTGTTTGGGGGGAAGTATTTCTGAAGAACCTCAGAACCAGGTGCATTCTTGATTTCTAAGTTTAAAGCCCATGAGGTGAAAGAATTGAGAAAGAAAGTAAGGCTGTTTCCCAACTCTCTGCTGTCCTTCTGTTAGACTAGAATATTCTGGAAAGGAAGAGAGAGAAGAGTTAAGAGAGAGAATCAAGCCAGTTGGTCGTGGTGGAGAAATGGAGTGGTAGGGATGGCCAAACTTCTTTTTATCTGGGGGATCCCGGGGTGAAGCAGACTTGCACTTTCTGGTCTCTTTTGGAGCTCTGTTGGCCAACAACCTCACAGGGATGACAGCAGTGGGGGTGACTGGGGAGGGCAAGTATGCATAAAGCCCCAAGTTTTCTGTGGGCCTTAGGAAGGCCTAGCTAAGAGAGAGAATCTCCTGTGCCCCGGAGAAGGCTGCAGAAGGGCGGAGCGGGATGGTGTGGACCAGGCTGTGTGAGGCCGTGGACACTTTGTGGAGTAGTCGGGGCAGGGTGGAAAGGCATCGGTGACTCCGGGGATCCATGAGGCTGTATCTGGGAAAGGTAGGAGGCAGGCCAAGGGCTGGAAGTGGACAACGCCTCCCCCATTGCCATTGCAGAGTTCATCGCTTGGAGTTTGAGCCCTGGCCCTGGGAAGGAGAGGCAGCAGTGCCAAGCCTGGGAGAGGGGAAACTCTTGAGCGTGACCAGCGTGCCATCTTAAACAGACTGGGATGCTGTTAATTAGTTTCCTTGAAATGAAGAGAAAGAATCAGGCTTGATTTGGTCCAGCCGAAGGAGAACAAGGAAGATGTATTTGTCCTGCCCGCCTGTGTCCTGCTGGGCGGCTGGCCACGGTGACACTGTCCATGGAGCTGTCCCTGTCCAGTGGCTGAAAGGGCGAAGATGAGCCAGTCAGGAATGGAGGGACCGTCTCGACGGCACAGGGCTCTTGGCGGTTCCTGGTTGGAAACTGTAAACGACTGAACTGCGGCTTGGACTGGGCTTCTCTGATGATTTAGAGAAGGAGCAGCAGTGACAGCTAAAAGCCTTCCGATGACTCAGCTGCTCTGGAGAATGAAACGTTTGTAAGGACACGTCGTGGGGTGGTTTGTGAGTCGGAGGGAGTGGGATGAGAAGTAATAAATGAGCCTCGATGTGAACAAGGGCGAGGTCTTTAGGAAGAAAAGCAACCACTTTTTACTTTCAGGGGAAGAGGTGTCCACTGCTAAGTGGCGGACAGAAAGGAGGGGTGGCCATGTTGCGGGGTGGTAATTTAGATAAAACCCTGAGAGGGGAAGAGGCCAGGTTGGGTGATTACCCAAGGCTTGAAGCAATGGGGCTCTGAGAGGGGGTGGGAGATGGGATGTGGGATGGGCAGGAAGGAGGGAGGGCAGAGCCGCTTCCTGCCTGAGAATCCCCAATTTGACTGAGAGCCATTGAAGGGCAGGACCCCTGCCTTCACCTGTATCCTCTGTGGTCAGTGGTCACCTGACACTCTGCGGGGCTGGAGAGAGGTGAGGAAGAAATGGGAGAAATGGGTGTGGAGGAGTGATCAGGACCAGGATCAGAGGCTCCTGCCTCTCAGAATGGGCCTCCATGAAACTGCAGCCAGAGACAGGTACTCTGCAGAATCCTGCCCAGCTGACCCAAGCCCTGGACACTCCTTCCCCTGCCTGCGGGCTGCTCAGTCCCATGGCCATCCAGAAAGAGGCACACCCGTGCTACTCTCAGAAACCAGACGGCCACATCCAGCAGGACCCCTGGGCTGGACTGGGGCCAGAGTCTGTGGGGGTGGAGTTAGTGCACCGCCACCTGCTCCCCGTCTCCAATATGTCTCTCTGCAGTGGGCGCTGGGGGCCTGCCTGGCAGAGCTGAGTGGCGTCCTTCAGGCTGCAACTGTATCTACCAGTGTGCTTAAGGCCAGACGGGCTTCCAAAGAGGAGCGGGATGGCAGGGTCCTGACACCCCATCATCCCTAGTGATGCTGATAAACTCAAATCTTGCCTTGTGGGCAGCGTAACTCTGCCTCAGCCGGGAGACAGAGGGTGGGAGGGGAGTCTGGACACACGAGCTGTATCACTGTTGGGTGTAGGTCCTTGGAGGGATAGGGCAGTATGAGTTGATGTGACCACTGTGGACCTGGGGGTGAGCCTAGGGGAACCCCTGACTGATCCTAACACCCAGGGGAGGAGATGGGCCTCTTCTCTCTCCCTGGGGGACCCATCCCGGCCTGTGAGTCACAGAGGACCCATGAGGGTCGGTGGGAAGTGAGCACAGGGCTACGGCTGCAAGCCAGGATGCGCTGTCAGAGTGTCCATGCTCTGGGATAAGTCTGGTCCACGATCAGCAGTCAGGCCCAGCAGGCACAGAAGGGGCAGAGGGGCAGAGTTAGAGTCAGGATGCTGATGCATCCAAGAGCCCACCCTGCAGCAAGTGGCAGCCAGTGAGTTGGGGACCGCAGCTGAATTTAGTTGTGGAAAAGGCCAACATTCTTGCTACTAAAACCAATGGAGGCTTACGGACACTGCCTGGCCATAAATGTGACCTTAACTGTACTCCTAGGCTGGAAAGATCTGAGACACACTTGGCACATGCACATGTGTGAAACTAGCACGACTGATTGGAGAACGCAGTTTGATTAATCCAATCTGCCATATAGACAGATGCCTGTGATGCTGAGTGACCTTGTCTTGGGCTACACTTTATTGACTCCAGAGACAGAGCTGGCTGCTGATGGCCTTTGCCCAGCTACCCAACAATCTTGGTCAAAAGGACCACAAAGGCGCCAGATCGAAGAAGCCACCGGGACACCGGGTGTGGGAGCACAGGGAGCCCCCCTCAGGCCTGCCCCAAGTGGCCGAGCCAGGCCCTGCGGCATCTGGACGCAGGTCCCCAAGTCCGCTTGGGTGCTTGGTTCTCCGTGGTGCAACTGGACCACACAGACCCCCAGGCTGCTGTCCTTCCAGCTCTGAGTCCACCTCACCCAGCTCCGGTCATCTTGTTGCACCACCGCTGTGACACTGGTCCACTTCCCAAGGCCATGGCTCCTCTGCACACACTGGGTGGCCCGGCACAGTAGACCTGCTGAGCACTGATGGTGAAGACATGGGGCTGGTTCTCCAGACATCCTCCACGGATGACCCCTCCCTTCTCTAACCACCCAGAGTCAGTCCGTCTCTCCCAGATTAGATTTGAGTTTCCTTTCTTGGCTCCTCACATATGAATCCTGCTAACCAATCCAGAGCTCCTGGAGAATCCAAACAGTCAAGCCCTGGCCTGGGCCACCCCATTCTCTTGAGCGCCTCACAATCCTGAGCACAGGCCAGCCATGGCCTGGGCGCCAAGGGATGACTGAGAGCATCCTTCCTCCTTGACAGTTGCTATGGACTGAATTGTGCCCCCTCCATCTATATATTGAAGCCCTAACCCCCAGCATGGTGGTATGTGGTGATGGGGCCTTTGGGAGATACTCAGGCTTAGATGAGGTCCTGAGGGTGGAGCCCTTATGATGGAATTAGCATCTTTGCAGAAAGAGACACCGGAGCTCTTGCTTCCTCTTACTCCACACACTGAGGAAAGGCCTCACACACAGTGAAAGGCAGTCGTCTGCAACACACAGAGAGAGCCCTCTGCAGACATCAACCTGCTGGCACCTTGACCTTGAACTTCCAGCCACCAGAACTGGGAGAAATAAACTCCTGTTGCTAAAGTCCCCGGCTCTGTGGTGTTTTGTTATTGCAGCCTGAGAAGGCTCATACAACAGCCGTCTGTTCTCCATTTGACATGGAGAACACTAGTCCACAAACTGCATTTGTCCACTCTATTCCTATCCAGTCCCTCTCTAGGGAACCTATGAAGCTGAAAGTCATTCTATGAACACACTATAGCAGCTCCAGGATACTGATGACATTTGGACTAGTAAGATAACAGCCTTGTGGCAAGTTATCACAAATAAACAGAAATTGCAAAGATGTTTGAAATGACTGAGCCCTGGTGGGCGACTCTGGAGACTAATAGAGGGTGAAACGGATTTTGTTAACAGATCAATGAGGAGAGAAATTGAGAAGAGCGGCCCGGGTGGGCATAAGGAGAGTCTGGTGTGCAGAACAGCCACAAGGTAGAGACAGAGGCGTCTCCATGGAGGAACCCTGTGGGGATGGCACTGATACCCACCAGACCACCCTCCGTTGACCCTAGAGGGTAGGCGGTGTGTGGACAGTGAACTTCCAGGGCCCCCGTGAGACCCTGCTGCTGAAGGGAGCAGAGAACTCAAAAGACCCGCAGAGAAGGTGCCGCAGAGATGGTGCTTTTAGCGGGGCACCCCTTGAAACTACCACTGCAGCCGCCTCTCGCTTTTTTTCCATAGAGTCAGCTTCCCCAGGGAGCCCAGGCCCCAGAGCCATGATCGGACATTGGATGGAGAGCTTACAGCAGGTCAAGGTGAACTCAGGAGCTTGGGGTGGAAGGAAAAAGAGATGCCCCTCTGCCCCAGTTCAGGCCTGAGCATCCCAGCCCCAGCCGCGAGCCTGCCAGATGTGTCCTCCTCACAGAGTTGTTGCAGGAGGGCCCAGGGCGCTTGATCGCAAGCTGAGACCTAAACGTGGCCCTCGGCTCTTTGAAGTCTCTGAGCACTGTCACTTCAAAGCCTGACGTCACTCCTGCTGGGTGCGGGGCCCTGAGTTCACCTTGAAGCCTCAGACAGCCTTTGTTCTGGGGGCCTCGCTTGAGCAAGTGTAACCAGGATGCTCCCTGCAAGAGAGGCTGTTGAGACCTGGGGTTCCGAGAGGCACCGACAGTCACGCAAAAGGCACCGCGGGGTGCAGCTGCGTAACGTCTCTGAGAAGCGTGCTCTGCTGAGAGAGACCGCTCTCTGAGGACGGCTGGGGCTGTACCTCCAGGGGCGAAGGTGCACAGACCCACGTGTGTGTGCTTCTTGTTTAAGCTCTGTCTTGTGGTGGAGCACCAGTGGAGGCCTTATAGAATTTAGGAAAGAAGTGCAGTTATCAGACTTGACCTGGCTGCAGGCAGGTGATCCAAGTAACTGATTCTCAAGGATGGTGCATTTGAGCCTGAATGATCCTGACTTGGGGAACATATTGGCGTCCAGTGTTCCAGTGACCGTCGTGTGAAGTGCAGGGCCAAGTCACAGCTTTGGGAGCAGATGGTGGGGTTTCCCTGAAGGGCAGAGAGGCCTCCTCGCCAAGGGCCTGGGATGATTAAGGAAGGTCTCACAGGAACTGGCACAAGAGGAGTGGGCAGACCTTCCCCTCCCCAGGATGTGCTGGCCGCTGCTGGGCTCTGGGCTCTGGGCTCTGGACTCTGGGCGGGGCCACCTCCAGCGGCAGATACGAGCCTCTTGGCTCTGCTTTTCTTCCAGTTTTCCTGTGTTTTCAACACAGACTTAAAGTGGCAGCTGGGGTTCAGCTCTCACTGATAGGAGTCAAGTGTGTGCGGCGGAGTGGAGCAGAGCAAAGGCAAACCCAGGAGGCGTTTGTGGGACTTGTCAGCATGTCCTGGGGCAGGAGACCCAGAAATACTTGGGGAGGGGAAGCTGGCAGAAAACTGGACTTCTGCACTGTTGGAGGATGGGAGCAAACTGACCATCCTTGGAGTATTAGGAAAATTTGACCCCGGAGGCTAGGACATTAAGTCACATGGGTAAATAGGGGTGAACGTTGATGCAGTAGAGCTGTAAACTGTTGACGTTTCGTCCCTGGGTCCTCACACTGCAAAACCCATCCGTAGGGAGGGAGCGGCATCTGACCTGCAGGGCTGCTGCAGCGGAACTCCACAGACCAGGGGGCTTAAACAACAGAAGTTTATTTCTCACAGTTCTTGAAGTCTGAGTTCAAGGTCCAGCAGAGTGTGGTTTCTGGTGAGGGCTCTCTTCCTGTCTTGCGGACAGCCGCCTTCTCACTGCGTCCTCACGTGGTGGAGAGAGAACAAACTCTCTAGTGTCTCCTCTTATAAGGAAGCTAATCCTGTTGGATCTAGGTCTCACTCTTATGACCTCATTTTACCTTAAATACCACTTAAGAGCCCTATTTCTGAATACAGTCCAATTGGGGGTGCCCTCGGCACCGACATCTGTGAAAAGAGAAGGTGGAAGCAGTGGGGCAGGCGGAGAAGTTGAGCTGGGATGTAGGCCCAGCGGCCACCTCAGTCAACCCTTGAGAGCCCTCTGCAGCCATGAGGTCCCTACGGAGTCGTTCCAGGTTGGAATGAGACCCCAGGCAAGCAGACCCTGCGTGGCCCAGTCTCAGATGTGGGCCTAGGAGGGCGTGACCTTCAATAGGAGGCTCCCTGAGCTGAGGGCCTCAGAGCAGCCAGGCAGTAGCTCCTCCCTGGACAGGGGGCCTGGGGTGCTCACCTCCACCCAGTGGTGAGCAGGCACAGCACTTGGTGGGCAGCTCAAGTCACTCAACTGGATCTGCTCTGGGGCCAGCTGGGCCCTGGGAGGCGTGGTTGGGGTTGCAGGGTTGGCTGGCTGCAGCAAACAGGTGGAAGAGTCTGAGACAGGATGGGAAACCACAGAGGTCAGAACGGATCGCCTTGTTTCAGGAAGGGATGCAAAATAGGCAGCTGGACAGAGAAAGTCCCCAAGAGCAGAGGCAGCTGGAGGCCTTGGTGCCGAGGTGTGGGGTCTTTGGAGAAGCCAGGCCCAGTGTCCTGCCTTGCAGTGCCTTTGGGACTCTGTGAGGGCACAGAGTGTGTTCAGGGCAGAGCCCTACCTTGAGTGGGCAGGTTGTTGGGGTGGGGCTGGGAGGTGGGCTTTCTCAGTGCCCAACCAATGCCCGTGTCTCCTGGTGGCTGGATGAGGCAGAGGACCAGCTGGAAAAGCCGGGGTATCAATGATGTGAATGAGTGACGTCCAATTCCAGGGACCAAGCACAAGCATACCACAGGCCCAGGGCTCCCTCCCCTCTCAGCTGGGTCACATGGGGCTGGTTATGAACTGAAGGCTTGTGTCTCCCAAAATTCATATGCAGAAATCGCACCTAGTAATGGGATGGCATTAGGAGGTGGGGCTTTGTGGAGATAATTAGGTTGTGAGGGTGGAGCACTCATGAGTAGGATTAGTGCCCTTATGAAGGAGACCCCAGAGAGCGCCCTTGCTCCTTTCATCATGTGAGGACACAGAGCGGGGTTAGTGGTCCAGGACGAGGAAGAGGGCTTCCACCAGAGCCTAACCATGCTGGGGCCCGGAGCTCAGACTTCCAGCCTCCAGAACTGTGAGACATAAACATTAAGTTGTTTAAGCTGTCCAGTCTGTGGTACTGTGTTACAGCAGCCTGGACCAAGACAGGACCCAGCTTAGTAATTAGTTGTTAGTGAGATGGAGAAAACGTTACTTACCAAAATTCTCCTTCAGAGAAGAAAAGTATTTGGGAAAGTCCTTGGAAGTGAAAGTGAGAGAAACTTCCAAGATAGGAAAGGGCCAGGATCCATTGCCTCAGAAAGAGAGGGAGGAGGAAGGGAGCTCAGGGAGGGTCAGTGAGCAGGAAAAACTGGAAGGATGGCGCAGAGCTTTTGTGCCTGGATGACCTCTAGGAAACGATGGGAATCTTGCAGTGCCTGATGTGGTCAAATGCCATTGAACTAGGGGAGGAAGTCTTCGTGGCTGACATCTTGGAGCAGCACTGGGAAGAGAGATGCAGCAAGGTGTGAGCCCT